GCAGTTCCGCAGGTAGGGCAGCGGGCTCACGGCTTGGTGGCAGGCCTCAAACTTGGAAGACTTCAGCAGCACGCAGGCCTCCTCTGCAAACCTGGCTGTGGGGGAGAGGGGAGTGAGACCGGGCTGGACGCCGGGGCGCGACACCCAGGTCCAGGGGGAGCAACGGCTCCTGCTGCATCCGTCCCGTGTTCAGCTCTTGGATGATTTCTTTCCCTAAACACGTGAGGCTCAGGTGCACGTTAAACAGGGACAGAAGGTGCAAAGTGGCCAGTGACAGCCTGGGCAGGCCGGGGCGCTGACAGGATTGAAACGCGCAGAGAGAAGGCAAATCTGCCGTGGCCGCCCTCTGAGTTCCCGCCCGCACCGCTGCGGACTCGGAGCATTTGTCCTCCACTTTCTTGCCCTGAACCCCGAGCCACACCGGAACCCTCTGAGGTGCAGGGACCGGCGGCAGCGCACGCACCCAGGCGCGGGTTGAGAGAGCAGGGGTCGCGGGGCTGGGCCTGCAGGTCCCCGCAGTCCTCACGCAGCTTCCAGGCGTTTCCGAAGTCGGACACCAGCGGCTCCGCCAGCCCCGCGGGGGTGAGGAAGTCGTCGCCCTTGTTGCCATTGTAATTCCCACACAAGCCACAGGTCCTCCCGATGTAGGCAGGGGACAGCTGCGGAGAGAGGGCAGCCGCATTGGTTTCATGAAAGAAATTCCCGGATGGGGAGCCCGGGCGTCTCTCCGCTGGACTTGCTCCACCCGCACTGCTGCGCCTCCTCAGGCTCCAGCCCCAAGTGCAGCAGCAGTGAGTGCAGCCTGCCCTCGAAACTGCTGCCTCTGTGTACAGGCTCCTGACATGCAGTGGGCCGGGGCTGGACCCGAGTCCTGGCCTGAGCAGAATCAACGCGGTGACGCCTGCTGTGTGCCGAGCCTCGAGGGCGAGGCCTGGGACCCTGAATCGTCAGGATCCCAGCCAGCTGCCAGCTTCCAGCTTCAACTCACAAGGTACATGAGGCACTGCGCAGTGGGAGTTTCCAGCCCCAGATAGAATGTACCCCAGTAAACATCCTGACAAGACAGGACCCGGAGAGGCTTCTGTGTTTGCTTTACCAATGTCAGGCGCTGACACGTCAAGCACGCAGGCCTTTCCTGACCTCCCTACTCAGAATTTAAACCCCCAATCTGGGCACTCCCTGGCTCTTTTCTGCTTATTTCTCTCCTAGGATCTACTCTAATATAGGATGTACTCTACTTGCTCACTGTGTTTCTGTCTAAATGAGACAGAGATGTGGGCCTGTTCTGTCTCGCCTCCAGCCCTCAGCAACTAGTATCCTGACTACATCTGCTCAGGCTGCTATGACAAACCAGCCCTGGGTGGGCGGCTTACAAATCACGGAACCCTTTTCTCACAGTTCTCGGGGCTGGGAAGCCCAAGATCCAGGCCTGAGCAGACTCTGGTGAGGGCCCCACTTCCTGGTTCCAAGATGGCACCTCCAGGCTTCATCTGACAGGGCAGGGCTGGCTGGGTCCCTTGTACAAGATCCTGATCCCAATCCACAAGGACAGAGCCCAACCCCTTCCCAAAGCCTCCTAATGCATTGCCTTGGGAGGTTGGGGTTCCAGCCTAGGAATGTGGGGTGCATAGTAGTACTCAATAAATGCTGAGCGAATGAGTTGTGGAACAAATGAATAAACCCCTTAGTGCACACACAGGTTTCCTCCGGACACAGGCTTCAGTGCAAGGCCAGCAGGTGAGGCCTGGACCAAGAGCAGAACAGTAATGAGCCTGTCTTCCCCTCCCACGCTTCACCCCATCTCTCTTCTCTCTTCCTTCTCAGATACACTGGGTGCCCTCAGGCTCCCCAAAGTCCCCCTTGCTCACTACCCCACTCTCACACCATAATCACACCCATAATCCCTGCACTCTGGGAGGCTGAAGCAGGATGACAAGTTAGAACTCAGCCTGGGCAATGTGCTGACTTGGAGAGACTTGGTCTCAAAAAGTAATAAGTTGGGCCAGGGATTTAGCTCAGTGGTTCTGCCGCCTGCCTTGCAAGCACAAAGATCCAAGTTCGATCCCCGGTACCAAAAAAAAAAAAAGTAATAAGTCAGAAAGGCTGGGAATGCTCAGAGTGAGGGCCTTGGATTCAAACCCCAGTACCAAAACAAAAACAAAAGCATTTCTCTCTGCACCGCTTGTCTGGTCTCAGTACAGACAGTGGGTTAGAAGCTGTGATGTATCAGGACAGCAGGCCACATCAGGGCTCTGGACATTTCAGCAGACACTTGCTACCTGAATCAGCCTTGCTTGGTGACAGTTCTGACCAAGCAGAGACAGCAGCTGAGCGTGGAAGCAGGACATAGAAAGCACATCTCCCCAGGCGGGACCGAGCCCAGCTGCCCAGACTGCTGCCCCAGGACCCAGCACGCAGCCTGCACTCGGGCACTGAGGAGACCAGACGCCCCTGCAGCCCACATTCCCCACTCCTCACCCGAACCACAGGGCAGCTCCACGGCCCACAGCCCCGCATCCATCCCCCCAGGAAGCCGTCAGCTCTTCCTCCCAGGAGGAGAAACTAAGGCCGAGAACAGAGGCAGGCAACTGAATGAGAACAAGCACGAGCCAGGAAACCCATTGGCAGAGAGGTGGTGGGGAGTGTGGGGCTGGCACAGGGCAAAAGGCACAAGATGGGACAGGACCAGGGTCCCAGAGCTCGGTAACCCAAGACCCCGAGACACTGGCAAGGCGCTCTGCCCCGGGAAACGACGGACCTATGCTTAGCGGGCCTTCCAGTCCCCACTCTGTGCTGTGGCTGCAAGTTTACTTTTCATGAAAGAAAAAGGCAAGAGGATGCATTTGGTTTCTTTGGGCACTCTGAGGAAGAGAGAAGGAACAGACCCCAAGAGTGGTGGAAGTGGGCTCTCCCCAGGGACCTCCGGGACACAGCACAGCACCTCAGCCAGGAATCCGGGAGCAGGGGCCTTGGGAAGACCGGGCAGTGCTGCCCGGAGGGGACGCCTCAGGAGGAAATCACTTTCCTGCAAATATGAAGTCCTTCTTGCTTTTTGCCTGGTCATCCCTTACAAGGACACATGGAATTTTCCAGAGGCTCTGTGCCAGGCAGCACTGCAGGTGACAGAGGATCCAGCTGCCTCCTGCTGAGCCCGTGTTTCAAAGCTTTGCAGAAAAGGGTGCACTGGTATTCTGCTAGAAATTAAGCTGTTTTGGAAAACTTATTTCCGCCCCCCAAAAAAAACATTGGTTTATATTGCTGCATATGAGGCTTAATATTGCACTTTTAAATGACTTAATAAACACGTGTTCAAGTCTCTGATGCCATTTCTAATCTGCAGACTCTCAGCGGCTACAACCACACTACAGAACCCAAGACTTCGGCAACATAAGAAAGGCCACAAAATCCTGAGAACAGAAGCAGGAGATCTCACAGAAGCACTGATCAGAGCTACTTCCCTCAGCTGTGACTATGGATGGACTGTTGAAGACTCAACTTGCCCGTGCTTTAGTTGCCTCCCTTATAAGATGGATAACAAGCCTATAATCCCAGCACTGGGGAGGCTAAGGCAGGAGGATCGCCATGAGCTCAAGGCCAGCCTGGACTGCATAGCAAGACCCTGCCTCAAAAAAGAGAGAGAGAATAAGATGGACAGCAGAGTAACACCTGCGCAGTCACCTGCCAGGGACATCGTGAGGGAGAAACAGCCTTCATGTAAACCGGGTGAAATGTATGGTGGCTCGCTAATGGAACTCGAAGACCTCTAAGAGCAGGAGGGTGGCTGATAGACAGGCCCAGTGGCTGGGGGTGGGGGAGCAGTGGCGGATGCGGCGGGCCGCTTTGCTTCTGGGAAGTAGGACACCTGGTCTCCGGCCCTTCCCTGCTGCCCAAGGTGGTGCCGGCCCGGCTGCAGTCTGAGATTGCTCGAACCCTACCAGGACCCAGAAGGCCAGCTCGGGTTCCCAGAGCCCAGAAGGGAGGATTCCCGGGGCCAACGGGGGCGTCCAGAACTGAGTGCCAGCTCCTAGCGAACAAGAGGGGCCTGTTTCTGCCTCTGGAGTGACGCTTCCGCCCGCCCGAGGAGAGAGGAATTCTCTGGCCACACACAGCCTTTCTGCCCAGCAGAAGGGCGCTTTGTGAGGGCCGGGCCCCAGGGGCGGGGCAGGCCGGGGTGGACCCACCTTCAGCAACAGCCTCCCGCGGCCGTCCCAATCCACCTGCAGGTCCTCGCCGTAGCTCAGGCGCACGGAGGCCGTCACCAAGTGCTGGATTCGGAGGTCACCTGGAGCCCATAGCAGGACCAGACTCAGCTGGGGTGGGGCCAGGTGGCAGGCAGAGGGTCAAGGGGAGACGTGAGAGGATGCCTCAAGAGGACCACGGAAATGGCCAACACCGAGTCAGGGGCAGATGGGGTCCGTGAAACTTAGGGCGCCACAGGAGAAAGGGTGATGGGAGACTGGAGCAAAGGGTTCCCCCAAGAAGGGGCTTGCGGAAACTGTCGTTCCCTTTACTGCCACGAGATGGCAGCAGAGGCCCCAGCAGCCCTCACTACCAGGCGCCCCGAGCCCCAGCCCCAGCGATGCTGGGTGCAAAGCTGCTGTGGGGAGGAGAACAAGTAGCACAGTGTGCCCGGCCCTGGAAGAACACACTAGTGTGGAGACTCACAGCACCGCACACACACGGACGCGCGGTGTGCTCACTGTGCAACGTCACCCGTGGGTGCAAAGCTAGGGTCACAGGCGTGGAGCAGGACGCCAGGGAGGCAAAGCTCTCCCTCGGCCGGCTCTGTGCAAGCTGGGTGAGCGCACGGGGTGGAGAGGGGTGGGTTTTCCCAGCTGGCAGAGGGGCGGCGGCTGGCCCTACTGCAAGGGCCTCCTTTGGTAGCAGCCACCCTGCCGGCCACTGCACCCAGAGCATCACAGAACCACCCTGCCTCAGCCTCAGACGGTCCTCCTCGGGCTCAAGTCAAAGCAAACCCTGTGGTTCCCGCTCCCTCTCGCAGGCCTGGAGCCCCTGCAGGGGCATGGCCAGCCTCCTCCCCGACACTCCTCCTCCAGAAAGCCTCCTTTCCACGGGGAGACCCACACCCCAGGCCATGCGGGGAAGGAAGGGGCAGGGACCCGGGAGAAGGGGCACCGGCTCACTGGCCCACCTTGCAGAAGCGGCAGCTGGATGTCCTGGCCGTCCACGGCGACTCCGCCCCCATGCTTCAGCTTCACCAGGCTGCCCTGCAGGCCGGCCAGCCGCACCGTGGCAGAGCGGGTGCAGATGGCATCGGGGTCGTCAGCACACTGCCAAGGGATGCAGGGTGGCCTCGCCTCGGCCCTTCCAGCTGGCACCAGCCCAGGCCCCATGGGCTAGGGGGGCCCGGTTCTCCCACTCAGAACACAGGCCATGGGCCAGAGCTGGCCAGGAAGTCGTGCGCCCACTCTCACCCTCTCCCCTCCGCTGGGCCTGGCCCTGCACACAGAACCCCAGGCCTGTGCCTCATCCTCTCGGCCCTACTGACCCCAGGACAAGGGGTGCTTGGATCCCAGGAGGCCCGGGCTCTGCTTGCCCTTACCCTGGCTTTGGTTCCCAGACAAGGGTGCACGGGACACCTGGGGCTCAGGGATGGAGAAGGGTCCTCCCTGCCCACCGTGGTCCCCATTCAACCCCTGAAGTGGGGTGTCTCTCTTGGGCAGGTCCTGGGAAGGTTGGGTAGGGCAGGACCTCCTCCCGTGGTGAGGGAAAGAGGGGCAGGCCAGTTTCCACGAAGGAGGTCCCTGCAGCCCGGAGGAGGGGCCCCCCAGCACTGCCCTCTCCCCACCTGGACTGCAGGAGGCCAAGCTCACCTGCACTGTCTCTATGACAATGGAGAAGGAATGATCCTGGCAGTCCTGGGCCAGCAGGTACTGGCAGATCCCACTGAAGGTGAAGTGCCTGCCATCAAAGCTCTTGAAGTGGGACTGGCCGGTGACGAGACACTCCCCTGGAGGAACACGGGTGGGAGCAGGGGAAGGGGAGGCTGCTGTGACAGGTGGCATGGGTACACAAGCAGGGAGCCTGTCCCCAAAAGCCACAGTGTCCTCTCCCCACACTAGTCCAAACCAGATTCTGGGCAAGGACTCTGAGCCCAGCCTAGGTCAGGGCCTTGTTTTACTCATGGGGCAACCAAGAGAGGGGACGAAGCCACGCCCAGGCCAAGGCAGAGCCCCCAGCCAGAGCCCACAGCTCCTGACCCTCATTCCCTCTGCAGCCTGCTGCCACAGATCCTGAGCCACCTGGTCCATGCCATGACAGCCATGGTGGCATCTTGGACCCTGAGCAGTGCCCACCCTCAAGGTGGCACGTGGAGGGGCTCAAAGGCCCAGCCATACCTAGAAGAAACCAAGAAGCCCAGAGGGGCAGCCAGGGGCAGGGACAGAGCTCAGCAGCAGCCAGTGTGGGACAGGCTCTGCCTCATAGCCAGTGCTGTGACCCCAGTGGACCCCATGGGGACTGGGCAGCCACCTGCCCAGGCAATGCCAACCGTGGAGGGCCAGCGCCCCAGCCCTGGCTGACACATCTCAGAGGGCCTGGGACCCCTCCTCCTCCTCCTCCGGTAACCTGGAGCCTCCATCCCCTCACCAGTGCCACTCCACCTCCCTGGTGCCCAGCCAGCTGTCACATAGGAGAGGACTCGCCAGGCTCTCCACACCACCTTGGGCCAATTCCAGTCTCAGGGCCCACAGTGAACACTGAGGCTGAAACAGGCATCGGGATCCCTGGCCAACTCCGCTCTGCACACTTCCTCCAGCAGCTCACATCCTGTGTCTGTTCTGTACCCACCCTACACCTCGGCCTCCTCCCTCCCTACCACCCGCCTCCAGAAGGAAGAGGCGGGCTCTTCTCCGCCCAGCCAGGAGGGGCCGCAGAGCTGATGCTGGACAGCAGCCTAGAAGAACTCGGGCAGTAGGGAGGCTCCGGATGGCTCTGCTCAGCCCTGGCCACTCCACAGCCCACAGAGGGGCAGGCGGCAGGGTGACTGCTCGTGGAAATCAGAGGCCAAGGTCACCCAGCTCATTGTGCGTCCCAGAACGCCAGGCCCAGCAGGGCCACCAGGAGGCCTCTCAGAGGCTGGAGGCCGTTTCTCAGAAGTCACCATCAAGGGACAAACACAGCAGTCTGCTCGCTGATGTCAAAGGTCTTGGCCTCTCTGCAGTAAAATGGGTGGAAACCCCCCAGCCTCCCCATTTTCTCAAGCATACTCTTATCTGAGTAAGAAGCTGGACTTCAGTCACCCTGGACAATGCCCGGGAAGCGGGGTTAACAAGAAAAATGTGCGAATGTTCAAAAGCAAAATGCTCAGGGCTAGACTCTAATCCTCTGATCTGAGTTCCTGCTCAAAACCTCAGATTTATTTCACAGGAATCAGAAGTCTAAATATTATTTTCAGCTGATCTCCTGGGTACAACTGAGATGGAGCAAACACAGGAAACCTGGGAAAACAGAGGGGTTCAGGACAGGGACGTGCATCCAACTGCAGCCTTGTGGCTGGGCTCACCCTCTTCAGGATGGGCAGCAGCAAAAGGCAACCCTGACAGACAGCTGGACAGCACCAGACACAAAGCTGGGCACCCCAAGTTTGGCAATAAGGAAAGCAGGTGATTCTTCCAGCCACACACAAAGAACAGTGCCAGAAGCTATAGCAGACCCACTCCCGAGGGGACTAAGCGTGTCCCTCCCATCGGTGTGAGCCCAGGGGCTGCCGTTCAGCCTTCCCTGCAGAAACATCAGCACACAGGCCTTCAGCAAGCACCTTAGAGCCACCCAGACCTCAGCCTCATCAAGCCAGAGCACAGGGGCCACCTCCCTCCTGTGCTATGGAAGATGGTAAGGGCTCACCTGACAGCAGGCATTGAGCAGAAGCACCCTCGCCCCACCAACGACTGAAGCTGCTGTCAACACCATTTCCCAGATTGAGAAACTGAGGCTGTGGCTCATTCAGCAGCCAGCCAGCGGCGGAACTGAATTCCAGCCTGAATCTGCCAGCCTCAGTCCCCCATCCTGGATGAGATTTCAGATGCAAATGAAAAGTCCTCTGCTTATGCATCCCTTGCTCTGCAAAGTGCCTGCCACACACTACCACTGGGGACTTGTATTCTGTATTTTATACACTTATCTCGGCTTCATGGCTGCTGGCTTTTTGATTCTGGGATGGAACCAAAGCCTTGTACAAACTTGGCACGTGCTGCTGAGCTATGCCTGCAGCCCCTGGGGCCATGGATTCTGAGGTGGGGCTTTCTTCCGTCAGGGGTATGCCAAGCCCAGCCTGCCCCTAACCACACTTTCCTAGCTGGGTGGGAGCTGAGTGGTGGGGCCTCCCTGGGGACCCATGGGGGAAGGGAAGGCAAGTGCCTTCAGGGTACTGAGGGAGCCCCAAGCCCCGGCGGGGGTCTAGTAGGTCCCCAAGGGTGAAGAACTGGTCCCCCAGGGGGCTCCTGGGAAGCGGAGGAAGCTGGGGTCATCTGTCCCAGGGCTGTGCTCTGAGGGGCACCAGGCCCATCTCCCATCTCTGGCTCTGCCTCCACATTCCAGCCACCCCATGCCACAGGGGCCCAAACAAAGGGGCCACTCAGCTGGGACTTGCACCTCCAGCGTCACAAACCGAAAGAATCAAGAGTAGGCTTCTCTTCACTTCCCAATAGCCAGTGCTGGGAACGTCACTGCCGCCCTGAACTCCAGCCCCCGAGCAGAGGGAAGCCCCACCACGCCCCAGCACAGCCAGCCCGGCCCTCCCTCCCTCCTAACACCCACAGTCAGCACAGTGCTGGGCACCCTCAGAGGTGACCCCACGCTCCACACCTGCTGTACGCCCGTCTCCATGTGACCCTAAACCCTGAAACCCACAGACTTCACACACGGCCCCAAGCATCCAAACTCAGTCCACTCCTGGCCCCGGATCTGTGAGTTTGAGTCCAGCCTCTGCCCCTCGGCCGCTGTGTGACACTGGGCAAGTTGCTGAGCCCTTCCCTGCATGTGTTTCCTCTTCAAGGTGAGGACGAACTGTACGGACCTCAGGCTGTAACAATGAGGTGACAAGTGCCAAAGCTTCTCGCCGTGCCCAGCACTTCACAAACATCACGCGGGCGCACACGGGCCATGGGGATGGGCGGAGAGCTTGGAATGGACGAGTTGGCAGCAAACAGAACAGAGGAGGCCAAGCGAGGAAGAACGAAGGGCAGAGATCACAAAGCCACTTTTCCTACACAGATTTTCCAGAGGAGGGGGGGTGGGGGAATTGCTTGGTGGCCTGGTCTTGAATCACGCTACAGTCTGCATCTGGTGTTCCAGAAAATTCCACCGAAACTCTCACTTCAAGCCCAAGGGTGAGCAGCACCTCCCTCTGCCCTGAAGACCAAGGCCTCTCCCCGGGGGAGGGGGAGCAAGGCACCGCCCACCTGGGCATCCTTCGTTGCTGCAGATCCACAGGCTGCTCCGGCAAATGCTGTGGGAGGAAGCACAGGTCATTGGCAGCTCTGAGAAGACGAGGCCACATGAGTGCGTTACCACCCAGACGTCACTGCCCTGAGGGGGACGGAAGAGGGAGCCCATGTGACAGGAATCTCTCAGATGTCAGTAGCGGTACAGGAGCCAGCAACGTCCAGGGGAGCTGTGGGGATCGGCAGGGACTGGGGCAAGGCCGGGCCGGGCCTGGCACTGCAGGAGCCGAGGAGGGCAGACTCGCGAGTGTCCCTGGGCACTGCTGCCACCCACCTCCAGGGACAGGAAAGATTTCCAGTGGAGAGGAGCTGTGTGCTGTTTGGAGTGGGTACACAGCTCTCTTTGGTGGGGAGGACAGTCCATTAATGCATTTGGGAGAGACAGCTAGTGATGTTACTTGTGTGGAAAGCACTTCCCTGGGCCGGCCCACTGCCCTGCACATCTGTCCCCCACCCCACCCAGCCCTGGCTCAGCCCAGGCCAGAGGGGACCCGTCCACCCGGCCTCCCCTCCCAAAGCCCAAGCAGCTCCCCCAGACCACACCACCCACTTACCAGGTGTTGCAGTCTTGCGAGAGGGAGGCCCCTGGTGGGTACCGATTCCCCGCATGCACACAGGGGCACGCGGCGCTCTCCACGCAGCGGCCTTCATCCAGAAGCCGTCCCTCTGGGGGCAAAGGCACCAAGGCAAAGCTCTTATGCTGTCACCACCCTACTCACCTCACAGCTCCGGAAGTTTGGAGAGCTGCTCCGCAGTGCATGTCCTTCCCCCCAGGGCAGCTCAGGGAGGGGACTTAGGGCTCCAACAGAGAGGTCAGAAGTCTCTGGAAAGGCTCTGGACTACCTCCCAGACCCGCAAACACCTTGCCGTGTGGTACAGTGTGGGAAAGGGGAGGATTCTCCATCCAGAGCCATGCTCAGAGCCACTCAGGACAGAAGTCTGGAGTGGAGACACACGGGCTCCTCTCTGTAGTCAAGCGGGCCCGTGACCCATGCCAGCTCCAACAGTCTCCTGAGAGAGACCTCCAGTGCAAAGGCTTCTCAGTTGAGCCCACCCATGAGCCCAGGAAATGCTTTCTAAGACTTCTGCCCCAGCCAGACTCCCTGACCCCTAACTGAGGAAACAGACAGGCTCTTTGGGGTCACACACCCACCAAGGCCGCCCCGGCTCCTGAGACACAAGTGCCTTCACGGACACAGCATGAAGAAAACATAAATTAGAAATAAAGACCAGCTCGGTCCTGATCACGCTATACAAAGACTTTAAAACACCAAATAAAAGGCCTCTGATTCCAGCAAGGAGGACCAAAACAAGTGGCCTTCATCTCCCTTCCCAGGACCAGGGGGACTGGCGAGGTCTGGGTTTGTACACAAAGTGGGAAGTTTGTTACCAGGGCAGCTGCACCCGTCCACACACTGCTCCTGACACACTTCGTTGACGGGCAGACTCTGGCAGGTCCTGGCGCACGGAGACACACACTCCTTATACTCCATGCCAGCAGGGCAGGCTGGGCCTGAAAGAGAAGCAAAGTGTCTCCCCAGCGCAGACACCACCAGCACAGCACCCGGCCACACGGTTCTCACAGCCTCCTGTCTTCACCGTCTCTGCCCCGCTGCCCCCTCTCCCCTGAGCAGGGTCCCCCACCTCCTGACCCTGGCTCAAACCCTGAGGGTCGCCAGGACCCAGCCCTTCCCCTGGTCATCCATTCCCACAGACACCTGGCATTATTTGCCCCTCTGCACTCCATCCCCTTCACCCAAAACCTTCTGGGGCTGCACCCACTCCTCTGGTGCAAAAAGCAGGGGCCTCTGGGGCCCAGCAAGGAGCTGGTGGGTTCCCCATTACTTCCTGCTCCATGAACATCTGCTTCCTGAGCAGCTGGTCCAGTCAAACGTGCCCTCCCGAGCACAGAGTATGTTGTTCATATCCACTCTGCCTGCAGGTGACACTTGCTCTGTACCCACCCCTCTCTGCTGCAGGGCTGCCCTGGGAACCATGGGCTAAGCACCTCTTTTCTCCCCACTGGACCAGCGCCCCATGGCGCCTCTCCCAGGCGCTTCTCCAAGGTCCATGGGGGTCTCCTCCACCCTGTCTTCTAGCACCAGCTCCTCCGGTCCAGAGAAGCCAGCTGCCAACCTGTACCTCGCACACCCCACAGCCCTGGTGACAAGCTCTAACTTCAAAGGTGCTGGCCGCACCCTGAAGCCTATGCATGTGGGGTTCCTCTGCCCCATCAGCCCTTGGTGTCTGCATAATTCCTGCAGGGCAGCTGTCCGCCTGCATGGCTTCTGAACAGACCAGGGAAGGAGGAGGTCTCCTGTCAGGTGCCCAGGGAAGCCCTGCTTAATCATGACTCCGTGTGATGATGACAGACTGTGAGATGAGATTAAAAGATAGCAAGCAGTTGTCAGGTGGCAGGCTGTGTCCCTGATGGGAAGATGTAATGGTCGCCTTCCTGTCTCTGAAGGCCACACGGCCGGCTCCCTGCTCCCCTCCACTCGGGCAGACCGTGCTGAGCTGACAACTACTGGGGCTCCATCCACAGCCAGACAGCAGGAGGCTTCCTGAGGGAGTCGTGGGACACAGGGGTATGGAGTGGAAAGGAGGCTGGGACAGCAGGACAACTGGAGAAGTCCTATCCGGCCCCACACAGCCGGCAAGTCTCCTCTGAGGGCCAGCACTCGTGAGGCAAGGGAGCAGCCACTCCGGGACAGGCCCGGGGCGCCTGGCTCGTGGGGACACACGTGTCACGGCAGGGCCCCAAGTGCCCCACTGAAGGACAGGCATGGCCTGGGCTGGCGCAGAGAGAAAGGGCAGCACTCACGGCAGGCACTGTGGTCGGTCCAGCCATAGAGCACCAGCCCCTCCTGAGCACAGGTCCGGGCGTACTCCAGCAGGGCAGGGCAGGCACACGCCAGCCCCTGAGGGCAGGGGCACAGGCTCCTCTCACACAGGGCCACAAAGGGCTCGGGGTCCACCAGCGGGTGGCAGCGGGCAAACACCGAGGCACTCTTCAGCAGCTGGCACTGTGCCCACTGGACCTGTGGGGAGAGCTCACCTCAGTGGGCGCAGAGAGGGCACTGGCGCTGCCTCCTGAGGGAGGCATCCAGGAGGCAGCCTTGCTGGGACAGTGCCCAGCACCTGGCCGGTGTTCACCAACATGTCCAGTCAGTCAGCCCGTGGGGCAGGAGAGGCAGAGACGGGTGCTATGAGGTAGACTGGGCCTGTGGCAACACCCGTGACCCCCTCCTGAACTGAGTACCGGAGACAGAGAGGGTGAGGGAGAGAGAGGAAGAAAGCAGTAACTCCGGCCTCGGCCCTGAGCTGACCTTCCCTGGAAATTAAGGGTGACACATGGGGTTTAGATCTCACCCTGAGATCCTCAGTCATGACTTAGGGAAGGTTCGGGAACGGTTTCCTCCAACACTCCGGGGCGGTGGCCAGGCCCAGACCAGGCCAGTCCCCATCCGCAGCAAGGCGCTGGCCCTGTCAAACATCCCCACGCACCAGGCCGAGCAGGGCTTCTCTGGACTCTTCCCCTGCTGATAGCTTCAACTAAAACACAAGGCAGCTTTGGGATCAGCACCTGCTTCTTCTGCTGATTCATTTCTAGAAACTCTCCTACGTGTTTTCTTACAAACATCTCTACAGCCTGTGTTTTTAACGCTTCCAGATACCCTCTCCTTCTTCCCATTCGACGTCCCTGAGGTCGAGGTGCCTCCCCCACAGAGAGCACACCTCACTGGACAGACAGCTTTCTTTCTTTGTCTCTTTCTTAGCGATACACAGAATAGCCGTGTGATTCAGAATCAATGATGTCTTAGACTTTACACATTATAATATTATCCACATAAATGATCCGTAACTTCAAGTACCAGTGTCATTTCTCTCATGCAAATGCATGCTGCTACTGGAAGCCAGCAGTTAGTGAAAGAACTTAGGGCCTCCAGCTGAAAAGTAAAGTACAAGTGTCTAGATGGAAGGGCTGAGTCCAGAAGGTTAAACCACAGCCAATCAGTGTTAGCAAAACAGGTAAGAAAAGGGGGAAGGAGTGCAGCATGGGGACTGAGGGTACAGCTTAACTGTAGAGCACCTACCTGGACAGTTTAAGGGATTAGATCCCTTCCCCAGTCCCAAAACCAAAAATAGTACCAGTTTTGAGGAAAGGGAAATCAATCTGTTCAAACCACACCAGGAAGCACCAGAGCAAGCTGTACACCAAGAGCCAGGAGCCAGGACCATGGTCTCCCATAGGACAGGAGGAGTCAGGAGGAATGGGACCGTGACCGGGCCTCCCGTGCTCCTCGATCCAGCTGGCTGCACCAGGGCCATTCTGGGGTCCTAGCAAACTCCGAGTCCTGCCCACAGCAGCCCTGCGCAGGGTCCTGCCTCTCGCCTGGCCTGCAGAGTCTGGGTAGGGCAGGCAAGCAGAGGAGAACATCCTGACCACAACAGACCCTGGGCCATCCAGGGAGAAGCTGCAGGATGCAGGGGCCAGGAGAGTGACAGGCAGCCAGGCTCCCCCTCCCACCTCTCCAGCTCCTTCTGTGGTCACCCCACACGGCTGTCAGAACGCAGAAGCCCAGAGCCCAGCTCTGCTCTTATTGGAGGTGGGGACTTGGGCTACTCAGTTCAACTCCCAAGGGGGTGTCTTCAAGCAAAGAGGGAGGACAGCCACACGTGCACACCTCCCAGGCTGGTGTCTGCTGCTGAGGGAGCCATCGGTGAACAAGTCTTCCTGTCGGTTACCCCAGCACTGAAATGGCGAGCAGGACCCACAGGACTTGAGGACCCCTCAGCCTCTTTCCGTCTCCATCTCCCTGGGCAGCAGAGGGATGAATGGTTGCCATGGTGACATCGGCACTGTCCTGGTACCTTGGATGCTCCGTGATCAGTATCAGGGCTGCTTTAGCTCATAATTTATTTGAGATATTCAAGCCCCTCTAAGCCAAAGTGGCAGGGAGGTTCAGAAGCTCTCTTCTCTGAAATAGGGACGGGCGAGAAGCTCCACCCTCTCTGGCAAATTGAGGTTCAGTGGAGGAGGCTGAGACCAGGGTCTGCTTCCTTCCAGCCTCCATATCGCCAGGAATATCCCGATGCCACTCAGGAAAAGTGATCACCACAGTCCCAGAGAGCAGCTGAGGGTGTCCCACAGGGTCCAGCTACTCAGTCCCCTGCCTACCTCTTTCCCCACCTGTGAGTTACGACCATAGAAAAACAAAAAAAAAGGAGACCCCATGGGGCTTTCTGGGAACTGTAACCATCTCCATGGCAGTCCCCGCAGCATAGGCCCAGCTCCTGCAGGCACAGGGACCAGAGGCTGGAGGTTTTCCCCAGCGGGGACGGTGTCAGCCAGACCCTCCTTCCAGGCAGCCCCGAGATCCAGGCTCCCTCCCTGCCCAGAGCCAAGGCCGGGCCTGGGAGCTCAGCCTTCCTGCAGCCAGCCCAGGTCCGTCTCCTCCCAGCTCACAGGGAAAGCAGGCACAGCACTCAACAATTTCCCAGAAGCTCCTCTGAGGTGTCACATGGTTTATAGAGAGCCTTAGCGAGACGGAAGAGATTTCTGCAGAACCAGCCACCTCCCTTCTCAGAACAATCCCTTCACCTCTGCCCTGCATACCTGAAGTCAGCTAGGGTTTCTCTCTCACAGAAGCAAGACAAAGTCTGCCCTCACCTGTCCTCTGGACTTCCTGTGGTCAGCCTTGGCCTGCACTCGGTCCACAGAGTGATCACAGTCTGAGAGCCGGGCGCAGTGGCTCTCACGGGCGCCCTCACCTGCAGCTGCTTGCCACCTCTGCCGCTCCACTCCAGGGCTTCCCTGTTCCCACCTTCTTGTACGGAAACCACCCATTTCTGCAGCTGTTACCCAGAAAGCTTTTCAAAGACAGGCGCTGCCTCCCCAGGACACACATAGCAGGCAGTAAGGAAGTGTTGGTTAGGACCTCAAAGTAAAGGACACAACCATCAGTGTATTCTCCTGCCTGGAAGGGGTCTTGGCTCCCTGAAACAGGCATTTCCACCGCACTGTTTACACACAGCCTGAAGACGTGATTCCAGTTAAGAAATATCTTCCTTCCCAGGGGTGTAGCCCCGCAGCTGGGAGAAGCCTGCCCCTGAGTTGCCAGGAGGGCTCCCTGGAAGGAGGCCTGGATGGGGTCGAGGACTTTGGTGCGCGGCAGGAGGGAGGAGACACCAGGTAAAGCACTGACTCCGCTCAGCGGCAGAGAAGCAAGGCATCATGGTCCCCACCACATTCCAAACTAACCCAGCTCAAGTCACTTCCTCCTCTTGAGAGCTTGGTGGTCACTTAACTCTCTCCACAGCTCAGTAGCAGGACAAGTGTCCTGAAAGGCTGGAAAGGGACAGGAGGACTCCAGCCTTTCCCTGTCCTTGTTTCTGGTCACCTTGAGGCAAACAGGCCCTCTCTGTCACAGGCCCAAAGTGACAGGCCAAGCTAAAAGTCTCATTCTTCTCCCTCAAATTCTTCTGGAATTTATTTTACTAAGATATGTATCTGTGAGCTGGACGTGGTGGCGCACGCCTGTAATCCCACCACCCGGGAGGCTGAGACAGGAGGATGGTCCTGAGTTCAAGGCCAGCCTAGGCTACATAGTGAGTTTGTGACCAGCCCAAACTATATAGCAAGACCCTGTCTCAAAAAAGAAAGAGAAGGAGAGAGAAAGAGAGAGAGTTAAATGTAATGGGTTTATTTTTTAATAAATTTATAATTATCTAATATGGCAAGTACCAAGAGATGTAATCCAAATAAACAAAATCTCTTGGGACGCAATAATTTTTAAGAGTAGAAAAGGATCCTAAGACTACACAACTGACACAGCTGAGCGGCCAGACTGCAGCCTGATCTCACCCCAGGATGGAGCTGTTACTGAACCACCAAGCAGAGCCAGGCCTCCATCTCCCAGGCTGCGACCAACTGAGCACCGAAAGTATTGGGGGAAGCGACCTCTGTAGCAAATGCACACAGGCTTTCTGTCCTCATCACTCTTCCCAGAGAGGGCAGCGTAATGACCACCTACAGAGCAGCCACAGTGCCTTACCTGCTCTAACCCAGGGAGGACATAAAGTACACAGGAGAATTGGTGACGGTTATGTGCTGTCTGCCATTATGCAGGTGACTGGATGCACAGACTCGGGTATCAGCAGGGCCCCTGAAGCCAAGCCCCGCCCCCGTCACTGGCAGACAGCTGTACCCGGGTATCCACCACTCACACCCCATTTCCTAACAGTAGAATCAGAAAGCTCAGCTTCTAGACGCATGGACAGGCTGCGTCCCACCCCCGTCACCCCCACAGTGTGAGACTACACAAACCCTCTTTCCCTCCTGGCCTGGAAAAGAGGTGTATGGTGTGGAAGAGAGGAAAGTCTCCAGGGCCTGTTCATCCCTCCTTCCTTAGTTACAGGACCTTCAGTTTCCAACTTTCACTTGGACACAGACTCTACAGAGAAAGATCCCATTTCTCCCCCAGGAGTTGCCGGGGGCCACAATGGGCCTCACAGGCTGAGCCCAAGGGTCCCCAGGTCCCAGGACCGCTCCAGGGCAGGGCCTGCTTCTTCCCTGTGTCTGCTCTCCCCGAGGCTGGGGTGTGGCCATGGTGCCTGATCTTGGACTACAAGACTGAAGCACCATGTGAGGGCCACAGAGCAATCCGATGGAAGGAGCCTGGACCCCACCAGTGTGAGCTCCCGCACACCCTACCCTGCGCTTGTGTACATGAGAGAAACAAGTGTTCGCATTGTGTAAGCAATTGTTCCTGTACGTGTCCAGCCACTCAAGCTGAACCGACTCCTAAGAACAGAGAGCAATACCTATCTTAGATGGTTGCTACAAAATCAAATTAAACAAGATTGTAGCAGGACAGCAACCATGCTTACACCAATCATTATCATCTTCCTGCTGTCAAGAGTGGCTTCTCTTCAGTCTCTGCTAAACCATTCTGGCAGGGACACAAAACAAGGGTCAGCTAATTGGCACTTTCAGCATCTCCCTGGCTCCAATGCCAGCACCAGCTACTTCTGCCTT